TCTATGAACCTTTCTTTCCATTCCAGAAAGCAGCTGCTCGGGAGTGGAGGTGCCAGGCTTTTCAGATTGCTGGTCTGGTACCTAGCTATGGAAAATACTGAGCAAGTCAGGTTCAGAGTTCGTGCCTGAGGGCGGCCTTGACCCCTGGTCTCACCACGGACAACAGGACCCCTTTAGGAAGGGTGTTCAAGGCCCTCCAGGAGCACCTCTTGCTAAACCTCTCTGCTTCCTTCACAGGCAAAGGAGAACCAGACAACAGAACATCAAAGGGTCTGTGAACTGCAGAGTCAACACACGTTCATCTTCATCTAAGGGGCTCACCACCAGATCTCATTCCTGTGCTTCTCTGGAGGAAAGGTCCTGCGGAGCAGCCCTTCAACAGAAGAGTCAGTGATGGAAACCCAAGCATCCTGGCTGCATTCTCCTGGTAACTGGGGTATGAATGCTTTCCTTCTGACGGCAGACAGCTGAGAACCTGCAGGGTTAAATAAAAGTGCACAGCCGGCCGGGCGCGTGGCTCAAGCCTGTAATCCCAGCACTTTGGGAGGCCGAGGCGGGTGGATCACGAGGTCAGGAAATCGAGACCATCCTGGTCAACATGGTGAAACCCCGTCTCTACTAAAAATACAAAAAATTAGCTGGGCATGGTGGCGCGTGCCTGTAGTCCCGGCTACTCGGGAGGCTGAGGCAGGAGAATTGCTTGAACCCAGGAGGCGGAGGTTGCGGTGAGACGAGATCACGCCATTGCACTCCAGCCTGGGTAACAAGAGCGAAACCCCGTCTCAAAAAAAAAAAAAAAAAAAAGCACAGCCCAGGACGGTTCTGTTCCCAGGAGAGAGCTATCAAGTCCATTTGCGGGCGCTCCAGGCGGTCTACCTAAAGGGAACAGCCTGCGGCCTCGGTGCCCCATTCATCTCTAAGGGTGGGGAGATGGAAAAATACCACGCGGCTGCTCAGCATTGATGAAGCGCTTGCTTCCGGGAAACTGACTAGAATCTATTTAGTCTCCAGAGCATTTCTGAGAGGCGGGCAGGCCTCAGGGCACTGGAGAGGGTTGGCATCTTTTTCTAGAAAGCCTGGCAGAGAACAAAATGAGGCCAAGCCTGCGGGCTCCTGGCTCCTTCTCTTTCTTGTGTAATGCCCTTTCTGACTGGTGTGAGTGTCCAGGCTTCGTGAATAACCTGCCGTGTGTCTCTGGGTGTGAGATTTGGGCTATGGGATGTGCCCGCAAATATCCGAGAGAAGGAAAAATTTTGTATCTGTTGAAAATCTACTAGGGATGTCAAAATATGAAACAATATTTGTTAATATGAAATTCTGGGTAAAACATGACAATGCTCCTCAAGATAGACAATAAGAAACAAAGAGAAATGGTAGGCATCCTCTTCCAGAAAGACACTGCCCGCCCCCCGCTCCTGCATTTCAAGAGTTGGTCCCTGCCCTAGAAGGAGGCCACGGTGCCTGTGTGAAGGGGTCTCAACAGTTAGGGAAGGATGAAAGGTCACCCTCCCCAGCACAGCAGATCCCACGATCTTGTTCCCACCTACCCTTCTGCCTTGTCCCCAGCACATTGTTTTTTAAGCCTGGCTTTCTCCCCTTGAGTAGTCCCCCTTTGCTCTCTGGCCCCCACACTGTTTTTTCTTCCTCTACTCCCCACCTTCCATGACCACGTGTTGTAATTTTAACCTTTCTATGGTGCCCAGTCCAACAGCACCATCTCTGTGAAGCCTCTCCAGTTTTCCCAGCTGGACGTAACTTCTGTATATTCGTAACCCTTCCTATGCATGTATGCCTTATTATGTTTGTGACTATCTTCTCCTTTATAAGAAATTCAACTCTTGAAGGACAAGGGCCGTATTTTATTCATCTTTGCAACTCCTAGAGTGCCTGGTATGCTGCCTTTTATTCAGCAAGGACCTCAAAAAGCTTTGGATGAATGAAATGGAATCATCAAAATTTTCCCTTCATTCAATTCAATTTTTTTTTTTCCAAAAAAGGCCTTCAACCTGGAATTTTATCATTGAGTGAGATACTGTCTTCTGCAGTGGCAGGCAAGGTTTCAGAGGGAAAGTGTTTTTCTCTCTTGCATGTGGGCTTTCTCAAAACCTTTCCCCTGTGAGAGTGTATAACAATGCTCTTTCCTTCTTGGCATCTCAGTGGATTATTCAGTTCTCCTCTGTTGCAAACATATTCGGATTTTACCATCACTCTTTCACCAGACAGGAACTTTCAAGAAAATCAGGCCTCAAAGGTAGAAGAGCCTATTCCAGCAGAGTCCCTCTGTCCTGTTCCCTTTACGAGCTGGATGGCCTGCAGGGTGATGTGCCTTGCCACTGGTGGTGTCGTCTACATGGCTGCCCTTCCTCAGTCAAAGAAGGGCACTCACAGGTCAGCATCTGTAGAGAGCAGTGCCCTAGGATTTCTTATGTATGATTGGGAAACAGCTTGTAGGTTTGTGGGTACATGAAGAAAGATGCAACTCAGTCTCACTGTGTTTGAATACATGTTGGCAAGCTAGTTTTGCAAAATGCATGAGACCGTGGTGATCAAGTCATGTATCAATGAGACTCGCTAGTGGACACTGCTCGGCTCTTCCTGTCTGACTCTTGCAGCTGCCAAACATGTTTTGCACGTCACTAAACAAGACCCCCCTCCCCTGCTTTCTCAGAGCTAGAGTCAAGGAGAGGAAATACTATCCACCAGAAAAAAATCACAACCACCGTCCAAATACGAGCATTAGTCTTGGAGTTGCATTCCTGAAAAAAGTTTCTGCCCTCAGCCAAATCTTTAGAGGGGTTCATGGGAGAAACTAGGGGGAGATGCCAAAATGCAGGTGATGGTGACAGCTGCACCTGGAGGATTCATCCCTTTCCTCCCACCGGAAAGTGGGTGCTGGTGAGATACCCCTGAGTCACTCAGCATTAGTTACTCTGCCACTCTTACCTGTGTGTGTTGGGGTGAGGGGGGATGGCTACCATTACCAGGGACCCAGGAGCTGTTCAGGTGAGTGACTGTGGTTCAGGGCAGGTGAGATGCTCCTTCTGAATGGCATAGAGACCCAAGGTCAGTGCATGGCATAGAGACCCACCACACGCATTGACGCCATCTTGCCTCACTTCATTATGAATTATTCAAAGATAAAAGGGGACTGTGCCTTTAAAATGTATTTTTAGTAAATTAATCTACATATAATGTTTAAAAAGCCTCTTGTTCACACTATCCCCTCTATATTCCTCTCCACACTCTTATATAGCTAGATTAGAAATTTTATTAGATCAATACTCAATGCTGCATTCTGATAAATCTAGTATTTTTCACAGCTGAACCAAATGTACTTATAAGTACGTTTTCTCTCCTTTATAAATGCTTGCATTTAGTGGAGTTAACAATGCTCTTCTTTTCTTATTTACATAGTTCTCTCTATGCCTATCACTGATTCATCCTGAAAATCTCCTTATTATTAAACTTTAAATTCTGAGATACATGTGCAGAACGTGCAGGTTTGTTACATAGGTATACCCGTGCCATGGTGGTTTGCTGCACCCATCAACCCGTCATCTACATTAGGTATTTCTCCTAATGCTATCCCTCCTCTAGTCCCCTACCCCCTGACAGGTCCTGGTGTGTGATGTTCCCCTTCTTGTGTCCATGCATTCTCATTGTTTAACTCCCACTTATGAGAACATACGTGTGGTGTTTGGTTTTCTGTTCTTGTATTAGTTTGCTGAGAATGATGTCTCCCAGCTTCATCCATGTCCCTGCAAAGAGCATGAACTCATTCTTTTTTATAGCTGCATAGTATTTCATGGTACATATATGCCACATTTTCTTTATCTAGTCTGTCATTGATGGGCATTTGGGTTGGTTCCCAGCTTTTGCTATTGTGAACAGTGCTGCCATAAACATGCATGTGTATGTATCTTTATAGTAGAACGATTTATAATCCTTTGAGTATATACCCAGTAATGGGATTGCTGGATCAAATGGTATTTCTGAGAACCATACACACCCCCTTAACACACGGGCAACTCAGTCTATCCCGTATTTTCCTGAGAGATGGCCACCCCTCTGTGCTGGCTATTCTTGGAGCCAGCTGGGCAGATGTCCCGCAGGGCAGCTCCTCATCATCTCCCAGGCAAGCCCCTTTGCTTCTTGCCCATGCGGGAGCCCCTGTGTCGGGGATTTCTTGTGTCCCACTTTCTGGGCTTCTTCCCTTTCTTCGGTGCATGCATCTTCTAGTCATCTCCTAGGAAGTGGTCTGGAAGAGGTAACATTTGAATCTTGTATATCTGAAATTGTCTTTATTCCACTTGAACATTTAGTTGAGGGTTAGGCTAGGCATAGAATTATTTTCCCTCAAAATTTCAATTTGAAAATGCTCCACTTTTTTGTCTCATCCTGTGTGGCCGCTGGGGATTCAAGCGCCCTTTCGGTTAACAATTGTTCATAATCATTGATGTGCAATAGATTTCTCTTGCTTTTATCTCCAGTGTTTTGAAGTTTCATGAGACTGCCTCCATGTGATTTATATTTTTTGTTTGGGGTTCTTAGTGGCTTCTTTCAATTTGGAAACTTATGGCCTTGAATTCTGAGAAACTAAAAAATGTATATCATTCTTCCATAATTTCTCCCTTCTATTCTTCAAGTTCTTTCTTTCTGGAACTTGTAGTACTAGTCTGGGTCCTCCAAGAAGGAGATGCCAGCACGAGAGGAAACATGAGGGGATTTTGTAAAGGGAGACGGTGGTGAGAGAGTGTGGGAGGAATCTAAGGGAGGCTGGGGGCTGGGGCAGCAAGTCTGACCCCTGCGAAGGAGCGAGGCGGGGAGGGCTGGAGGGTGCACCTCCTAGGGGTCAGCTGTCATGGAGCTGAAGCCCCAGCAGAGAGCCTACCTCTTCCAAGAACTGGCCTGCCTTGGTGCTCTGCCTCACTCAGTGACTAGGAGCAGCCCACAGAGTGAGTGCTTGGAGCCGAGGCTGTGATGGGCCTCAGCGGCTGCAGCTGCAAGTCGGCCAGGTACATTCTCACGGCTGCCACCTCCTCGCATCCTGTGAATGCTGAATCTCCTGCACGGATTCTATCCTTTTCTTACCTTTTCTCTCCTATTATTGTTCCTTAAAAAAGTGGGGAGATCTTCTTAGCTTTGTGTTCAGATCATTTTATTTACTCTAATATTTAAATTTCCAAGTGTTCTCTCTTGTTTGTGGAGTCTTTTTCCACGAACAAGAGCTTCTTGTTTGCCATCCGTAATACCGTCCCTTCTCTCTGAAGGCAGGTGAAGGTTTTGGAAGTTTACTTCACTCCCTGCTATGCCTCTGCTTACTCCACGTTTCCTTTCTGTGTTTGCCTCGATCTTTCTCTTTCATGTTAAAACCTTTCCTCATAAGTCTGATAACCCTTGGTTGCCTGTCATTGAAGAGAGTGCCACTAACCAGCTCATTGGAAGCTGTGAGGGAGAGGGCTGCATTTGATCCTGGCAGGTGGAGGAACCCCCAGGTATCAGTACTAGGAGGTCTTTCCTCTCAGCCCACTGGGCTTCCCTAAAGAGTCCTTCAACGCGGCTGAGATCAGGCATCTGGGCGCTGAGTACAGGAAGGGGGTTATGGTTCAGTCATCCCGAATGCAGATTTTCACACAACGCCTGCTATCGCCAGGACATGCCTCACCCTCTGCCCTAAATAACACAGAACCCAGATCCAAACCCTTCCTGGGTTTATCCAGAGTCAACCTCAAACCCTAGGCTGCGGAGTCTCTTTCCTAGAGGGAAAACACTGTTTCTGTTTTCAGCTCCACACATGAGCTCTTTTTTCAGAGGACCGGGCCCTCTGTTGTGTGACTGGGAACGTGCTGTCTTCCTCTAAATCAGACAGGCATCTGCAAAGGCTTTTTACTTATCTGAATGACTCCTGTTGGAATATTAGCCATGAAAAAGATAACATGTTTGAAATGGTTCCAAATTTCTTTAAGAGAAAGAGAAAGAAAATCATCTGTTGACTCTGCTCTTCACTCAGGGGCGGAGGCTCCAGGACCAGTCTGAGGAGTAAATACTGCTGGGCGCTTAAACTCATTGGTGTTGGGAACTCGGTGACGCTATACGGCACAGAGGGGCCGGACAGAGCCGGGGGAAGAGGAGCTGGCCTGTCTCCTCATTGTCACACACTGTCCCGCCGTGGAGGACTCAGCCTGTCTGGTGACCACAGAGGTAGTGAAGCGGTTGCCAGGGACCACAGCAGGAGTGGCGTTTCTCCGTGAAGACAGTGCTTAGCAGGAAGGACTGAGAGCGCGTCCCACGGGGGTACTGGCAGGTGTAGGATTCCATCAGAGCCAACGCTATCATTTGCGCTTTAAGCCTAGCATTTGGGGAACTGGGATAGCACATCCCCTCCCCTCCCTGTTGCTTAGCAACAGGCTTCTTTCTCATTCCCAGCAGGTCCAAAGGGGCCCAGTTTTGAAGGTAGGAGGCAAGGAGTGGGGGGAAATGAGGGTAAGATAACTCCCTGGTCTGCATGATAATGAGTCATGCTGGCTCCACTGTGCAAAAGGTACCTGCCTTGCAAATGAATGAGGTAGTTAAGAAACACTTCTTTTCCCTGTTTGGGATTTATTCTGTGAGGATGAATGTTTACCTGGGGGAGGCGCATGTTTGTGTGTATGTTTGTATTTCCACAGCTGTCTGCTGGATCCTGAGATTCAAAGACACACCTGCAGCCCACACTGGTGGGGAGGCTCAGAATGCCCACCTCCTGGGGCCTCTGCGCTGGACATTGGGTCACGGAAGCCCCCCTTTCCTGAGTTGTTCTGTGGGACTCCAAAGAGTCTCTTGCCAAGCTCTTTGACAGTTGGCATCCCATCTGAATAGCCCCATGTGCCAGTCTAGGGCCTCTGAGACGCAGATGCCAAGAGGGGATTAAAAGTGCCACGATTTTGTTAGGGGAAATGCCCAGATGAGGAAAGCCAGAGGGAGCCTATCTGAGAAGCTGTCAGACCGGGACTCAGGGCTGACCCTGAGGGAAGGAGGAAGCGCAGGTTTAGAGGACGCATTCTAGACTGTGTGGAGTCTAAGGAAGACTCCATGGCCATGCAAGAGTGCCCCAGCCGAAGGCACCCATGGAGGAGCCCACCGCTCCCGGGGCAGCCTCCCTTCATGTCCTCCTGTGTCACTTCGGAGGACAGCTCCTTTGGCCTTGGACACTTCCTCTCCCCGAGTTTCGCAGGCTGCAGGGCGTGTTCTCCTGTTGTCCGCATCCAAGCCTGCTCAGAGGTAGGGTTAGGTGAACCTGGGGCTTGGGAATATTCCACTGGGGGGATAGGGAGGCCTGCAAAGGTAGGCAGAGGGCCACACTGTGAGGGGTTCAGAAGAGAGGGCCTGTGGACAGAGGGGGCAAATCCAGGGATGGGGAGCAGTGGCGAGGACGTGCATGCCCACAGGAGGCCACATGTGAAGGGGGAAGGCCAGGATTAGCAGTAGCATGGACTCCCCATCTGCTGCTGTTTTCCCGCCGTGTTAGAGCTCCCTAGTGTGGGTCTTTTCCAATCTCGCTTCACGTGGGAACCCTCCCATAAGTGGCTTCACTTACACCTGTGTCTCGTTCTGTCTGGGCTGCTATAACAAATTATCTGTGGGTGGGTAATTTCTAAACCACAGACAGTTCTGGAGGCTGGAAGTCCAAGACTGAGGTACAGGCAGGTTTGATGTCTGGTGAGGGCCTTGACTGGTGCATCACATGGTGGAAGGCAGAGGAACAGAAAGTGGAAAACACTGTCCTCCCAGCAGAAGAGAATGAACCTCCTTCCTCGAGCCCTTTGATAAGGGCCCTAACCCCACCTGGCAGGGCTCCACCCTCATGACTTAATCGCCTCCTAGAGGTCCCACCTCTTAAAACTATCACATGGGGATTACATTTCAACATATAAATTTTGCCAGACACATTCAGACCATAGCAACCTACTAGGTTCTTTTTCCTTATCTATAACAACTGATTATGCTTATAAATATTGGCAAGCAAAATTGCCTTTTCCATGGAATTTTGGGTGTGTTTCCATTTTATGTTTCTCTTGGAGTCTCATCTCTCCCCTGCCAGGGACTGGTGTGAGAACCCTGGCGTATGGTCTCTAAGCTGTACTGCTGCTCTGATGCTTCTCATCTATTTCAGTCTTGAGTTGAGGTTGAAACCTCCTATTATCTTGCATGGTGTTGAGTGGAGAAGGGGACAGGCAGTGACGGGACATGTGGCCAGCCCACAGTCACCCGCTGCTGCTTCATGCAAACTCAAGCAATGCTTCGAGTGACGGCCAGCTGTGAAGCTTGAGGAACAGCGGGAAGAGAGCAACTCAAGAACGGCATGGGGTAAAAGACCCCTTCTCCCTTAGTCTCCTAGTGGGAGATGGCCCTAGGGGGTGGGGTGAGGAGGAGGACAGAGGCTGACACCCAGAGTACGTTGATTTTCAACTCTGCACTCAATGACATGTGCATTGCATACATGCTCTCTTGAGTTTTCCACCGCAGACTTCTGAGGTGAGAAGCTAGGTAACTTGCAGTTGGTAGAGTAGGCTCTCAACCCCATTAGTGAATGGCAAAGTCTGTGCTGTAAAGCTCTGCACTGTCCTGGGACCAGGGTGGGTACTGGATGACCAAGGGAAGTCAGGTCAGCCTCATCTTCTAAGGCAGGAGTCTCCACACCAGCTCTGTGGCCTGTTAGGACCCAGGCTGTACAGCAGTGAGTGCTGGGTGAGAAAAGCTTCATTCGTATTTATGGCCACTCCCCCTGGCTCACATTACTGCCTGAGCTCTGCTTCCTGTCAGATCAGCAGCAGCATTAGATTCTCACAGGATCTTGAACCCTTTTGTAAACTGTGCATGCGAGGGTTCTAGGTTGCAGACTCCTTATGAAAATCCAATGCTGATGATCTGTCACTGTCTCCCATCACCCCCAGATGGGGCCGTCTGGTTGAAGAAAAACAAGCTCAGAGCTCCCACTGATTCTACATTATGGTGAGTTGCATAATTGTTTCATTATATTTTGGAATATGATATATAATATATAATGAAATGAGGAATATAACAGAAATAAAGTCTTATAAATATAATAGAAATAAAGTGCACAATAAATGTAATATGTTTGAATCACTGCGAAACCATCCTCCCCCACCACCTCCCTGGTCCATGGAAAAAATGTCTCCCATGAAACTGGTCCCTGGTGTCAAAAAGGTTGGGGACTGCTGTTCTACGGTCACCGAGTGATTCACAGGACAGGAGACACTTGTGAGGGCTCCTTGGGGAACCCTACCTCCCTGCCTGTAACATCCGGCCCCATGTGCACATGGGTTTGACCTCATGCCTTTGACTTAGGCACCATCTTCATGAGCATGCTGGCCTTCTGGTTCCAGGCCAGGGCTTCATAAACAAATCCTTCTTAATTAGCCTTGGCAGCTCAACACCTTTGGTATCTCACCCATTTAACTGCCACGCCTACTCGTGTTGGATCCGGTTATAAAGTAAACTATGTTCTTTGAGAGCTGATGCATACAGATGAGTTGGCAGCCAGTCTGAGCTGACCCACAGACTCATAAAAATCAACAGGGCCTCGGGTACCTTCACCCAGCACATCCAGACTCTTGCATCAAAGGTGCAAGGAGTTGCTCACATCGAGAATCTGGCTGCTTTCTTGGAGACCAAGAAAATGAGTTTTTGTTTCTACAGTGACTCCATCAATTCATGAGGTAAGAGGAGAAATACCTCATTGTGTCTTTGTAGGAAAAACAAGTTAATTCTTATGAAAATGTAGACCTCTTTTCCCCACCTCAAATCTAGACAGATTTTTGTGTCCACTCCCAGGAGATAGACACAAGCATGGTTTTAGGTTTTAACTCACTGGATGCTTTTGATGTGCTGGTTACACATGGATTATTAACTGTGAGCTTTATCTTGCCTTTCCTAAGCCATTCTGTAGCCCTGGGGCTAAAGGGCAGTAAGAATCTTTGGTTGTATCACGCCTGGCTCCGAAGTCTTCTTTTGGTGGCAGAGATGTGTGTAGGGTTTTTATCTCTGGTGCCATCCTTTTAACTGTAGCAAGACCTTGCCTAGTAGCACAGCCTCTGCCAGGCCTTTTCCATCTTTAAGGTAGAGGATCAAGTGCTAGTGGGGTCTGTCATGAAAAACATCTATCACAGAAAGAGTTAGCAAGACATTTTGATGACCTTCACCCAAATGCCTTTTCTTCATTTCCTGACGGAGCATTTTTTAGGAATTTTGCACCTTTCTGAATGAATGCATTTGGATTTCTCAATGTTTGTTCAGCTCCCTAACGACTGTTGTGACAACTGCTGTATACCAGTGAATACCAATGGTTTGTCTCCGCTCTGAACAGGTGTGGAGCCCCTTCTCCCAATATCTGTATCTTATAGATTTGGTGCCTAGTCACTCAAAAGGAGTTGGTCTTTTGCAACCAGCAACTTTTAGAAAAAAATGACTGAATTTTTCTTTGTTTAGTTGGGCTTACAAAAATGGAGCAAAACGTAGTGATTGTGCTAAGGGTCTCTTATGGACGGGGACTTGGCAGAGTCACTCACAGGATGCTTTTGATCTGCTGGTTATGCCAGGATTATTAGCCGCAAGCTGCACTCCGCCTTCCCTGAGCCATTCTGTGGCTGGGGCTGGAGGGCAGTTAGAATCTTTGGTTGACTCGCTGGTTACATTGGAGGAGCTGCACGGTCTTTGTGGGCTCCCTTCAGCCAAGGGTTGGCTGGTGTTGTCTTACTCTACACTGTTCAGTGTAAATGGATTCTCACTAAATCCGCTTCAGCTTTTAAGAGCATGATGGGGTAGGGATATCTGGGAACGTATGAGCCATCAGAAGAACATCTTTTTTTTTAATACTCAAGTCATGAAGGTGGATTTCTTCTGTGTAAGGAGATACATCAAGTCAGTGTAGGTGCAAGACTGCACTTGCAAAGAAGCAGAGTATGTGAATTCCTTGTGAGTGGGTCTTGGATCTTTAATGCTGTTAGTGACTTTTGGTTTGCTCTGATTCTTTTTTTTTTAAATGTAAGAAGCTTGCAATTGCCAAGCATGATTTGCTCTGAGGAGCTGAGACTCGAAATTCCCCATGCACGGTCCTTTCCTTTCCTTCGCAATGTGTTTTTCAGTGCTAGGTTACAAATCTACCCTGAACCTTGTCACAGCTCAGTGATTGTCCAGGGATTCGGTTGTGAGTCACATGCTTTGCCTTTTACCTGCCCCAGGGTTTCGGTGGATTGAAGGCTTCCTGGTGCTCTCTCAGTGGAATTGCTTCTGGCCCAGCAGTTTGATCCTGAGGGTGACCCAAATGTTCCTCCGCTTAGATCCAGAATTTAAGATGCCAATGATGATTATTGTCTTTCTTCTCTTCATTCTTGTCTTTCTCATGACAATTTTTATTATACATACAGGGTTTTCTCTTCATTTGCCTTTCAATAAGCTTGTAATGAGAACTCATTGTGTTTTGGATGCTAGGTCCTGGGAAACCACTGGGTGGCTTGGGAAACGCTTTGCTCTGGAGGGCAGGCACTTGGGCTAGGGGATATGCGCATGGAAACAGGCTGTCACATGCTAGTGGGAGAGATACCGTGATTAGTGAGGACCTCATGGTATCATTGCTGCCTGCACAGGAAAGTACATCATACTTTTCCCACAGAAGACCTCAGAGAAGCATGATCCTTAATGCCCAGGGTGGACAGGAGGGGGCCTGCTGGAGGCAGGGGGAAGAACATTCTAGAACATTCTAGAAATGGCATTTACAAAAATACGCATGAGAGAGAGCATGGCTTACACAGGGAATATCAGGCTGGTATAGCTGAGGGTGGGTGGCCGGGGAGGGGTGAAGGAAGCCGCAGGGTGCCATGATGAAGGACTTAGCATGTGGTGCTGAGGAACCTGGGCAGTTTCTGGAAGGTGGTGAGAACTGGGGTAAGATGTTATTCGCATTGTGGAAGGGTTGCTCTGCCTGCAACGTGCAAGGTGGACTGGAGTAGGGTAAGACCACGGCTGGGTAACCAGGGAGGAGATTACCAAGAGGCAGAAGGCACAAGGTCTGGTGGCCGATTGGCTGCAAAGAGTGATTGGGACAGGCAAGGGTGAAATAGGTCCCTGAAATAGGAGCCAGACAAGTCCACAAAAAGAGCACACTTGGAATAGTACAGAGCCTTTTCCTTCCAATTACCCTCCCACATTCAAGACTGTGATGACCTACCTAGGCTCAAGCCAAAAGTATACAGAAAAGGGTCTAGGCCTTCTCAATCTGCTCTCTGTCTCCTGAAATATATACGATTCAGGAATAGTGTCAGTACTGCTTTGAAATAGCAGAAAGTGGTTGGCTTGATTTTGTGGTTCAGAAATCTTCATGAACAAGCAAGATGTGTGGAAATTGGGAAAAGAAAACAGAACAAAAACAAACATCCTCCAAAAAAAAAAAAAATCCCGAAGAAAAAAATGAGTGTAGAGACATATAAAAAATAGACCCCTAGAATAGTCAGCAATAGGCCTGGCACAGTGGCTCACACCTGTAATCCCAGCACTTTGGGAGCCTGAGGTGGGTGGATCACCTGAGGTCAAGAGTTCAAGACCAGCCTGGCTACCATGGCAAAACCCCATCTCTACTAAAAATACAAAAATTAGCCAGGTGTGGTGGCGCACACCTGTAGTCCCAACTACTTAGGAGGCTGAGGCACAAGAATTGCTTGAACCCAGGAGGTGGAGGTTGCAGTGAACTGAGATCGTGCCACTGCACTCCAGCCTGGGTGATAGAGTGAGACTTTGTCTAAAAAAAAAAAAAAAAAAAAAAAAAAAAAAAAAAAAAAAAAGGAAAAGAAAAAGAAAAGTCAACAATAAACCTTAAGGTCAAACCTTAAATAACCTTAAGGTCAAAGGTTGTTCCCTGCTCCAGGCAGGATGATTCTAAGCCTCCTTGCAGAAGATTGTGAAGGATGTGCAAAGTGTCAGCCTTTCTTGCAATTGCCTCATCAGAATCTGTG